GGCCAGCCTCTTCTCCGTGGTGCCCAGCAACAGGACAAGAGGCAACGGGCAGAAACTGAACCAGAGGAAGTTCTGTCTGAACCTGAGGAAAAACTTCTTCACTGTGAGGGTGACTGAGCATTGGAACAGGTTGCCCAGAGAGGTGGTGGAGTCTCCTTCCCTGGAGATATTCAAAACCCATCTGGATGTGACCCTGGGAAACATGCTCTAGGTGACCCTGCTTGAGCAGGGAGGTTGGACTAGATGATCTCCAGAGGTCCCTTCCAACCTAAACGATTCTGTGATTCTCTTAATTCTTTTTTCTGAGAAATATAGATTTTGGAGAAAATGTTACTCAGTTGTAAGGAAATGTCTTTGCAGTTATCTGGACTAAGCAAAAATTGGAAATGTGCTATATGGCTTGTGGCTTGTCATTCTGTTTGTGTTTTTGTTTGTTTCTTTTTTGTTTTCGTGTTTTTGCAGGAGGGAGAGCTAGGGGGCCTTTCCGTGCTGTATGGACAGGTTTCTGTCTTACTGAGAGATGGAAAGGGCCTCTTAACTCCACTGCAATACAAATTTAATCAGCCATACTAAGTTTGCTGATATTCCCCTTTTATTTATTTACTTATTCTTTTTGGGTAATGATATGTTTTTGGTGGAAGCATGCATGATAGAGTATCACACTTGACAAGCAGTCAGTCAAATCTTTCCAACCTTGGGCTTTCTAACTAGTGGCTGATTCTTTTGAGATCTGAACTGCAGCCCTGGGTTCAGTCTTGGTAGCTCCTTGGCTGTCACCAGGTCTGCCATCCATTTTGGACATTGCATTACTGGACAAAAACTGAGGAAAATACTGGTATTCCTCCAAGTAAAGCTTTCCTAATTTCATAGTTATTCTGGGTAAGACTGAAAATGTATGGAACGGGACACATTTTTGAAATTGTGCAGTTATTTTTTTGTTTTTTTTTTATGCCTATTGCAGCAGCTCTGGAGGCCCTTTCTCTGTCAACAGTCAATGCTTGTTCTGCATGCATTAAGTGGTTAGTGACATTCATTCAAGAGATATTCATTCAAATCTTCTTTAGCATTAGTTGCCTTCTGCTGCTGCGGGTGACTGTTAAAGTTAGGATCTTGACTGATACCGTAGGACTGCCATATTTAAAACAGCATTGCATATCGTGATCTATTTTTGTTTTGTCTTACAGAGAAAATGGTATGACACTGAAAATGAGTATTATCTGCTTCTGTTCACCATGTCTGTTCGTTGCCTCTTCTACACTAGTTTCAGCCTAGAATACTGTTGGCATGGACCTACCCAGAAATCATCCCATTCATTCCTGTGGATGCTGGCATATGTGTTTTATTACCCTATGTTCCACAACGGACCCCTTATGAACTTCGATGAGTTTAGTAAGCAGGTAACAGTATTTTTAAGATCATTCAGATACTGATTTTGAGTGCATCTGTGCTTGACTAAAATTTAACTAAGAACTGTTAAAGAAAATAGCAATATCTTTTCAGCTGGCAAATCTACATATGGAACCTGCAGTGCATTAGAAGTGAATTGAAGGATAGGTTTTTTTTTTTTGAAACATAATTTGAGAGATCTTAACATTAATCAGGAGAAAATATTAGATAGACAAGACAGAACTTTGTCATCCTGTTTTTCAGGCATATATTTGTCTTCCATTTCTTCACACATCCTGAAGTGTGTTGCGTGAGAAAGGGAAGGCCATACTTGGAAGCTAGTTTTATGTATCCGTGTTTATATATCAGCCATAGAGTAATATTGAATTCATGTAAGGCTAGTAATTAACTTTGAGTATATATTTGATTGATTAAAGAGAAATGTCAAAATAGGCCTTTATATCTAGTGTTTGGGCACAGAAAAGTTGATTAGACTGTAAGGTTAGAGAGAAAGAGAGGGTAGCAAGAAACAACAAAAAAAGGTACTGAAGGCTATCAGATTAATCTTTTCTATCAGGCCCTAATCTCTATTTCCTTCTGAACTAAATATCTATTTTTCAGTCAACTAGGTACTCTGAAAAAACAAATAGAAAATGAGTTTTCATGCATTTTAATAGAAGAGAATTTTAATAGACTTTAGAAAGAGAAGAAGAATAGAAGAGAATTTTAATAGACTTTAATAGGAATATCTATAACTGATTCTGTATAATTTTTCTTTCTTCCTAGTTATTTAGAAGTTTTTCCATTTCTGTGTAATCTTGAGAAAATAAGAATTTGTTCGTTGCCTAAAACTATATCTTCCACTGAATTTTGATGATATTCCCATAACATTATTTGATATTAAGCTAGGTTAGTTCTGAGCACATCAATGGTAATTTGACAATACTTCAAGATATTCCACATTAGAAAATAAAATTCTTCTACTTTTCAGTTTATTTTTGTCTGACATAGATCCATCCATTCAACTGTGTCACTACATTCCTAGATTATTCATAATTTTAGTATATAGCTACTATATTTTTATTTTACTTCCCTCCTTAAGGAGATGAGGCGACCAGTACTTCAGGAGTGTTAATTAACTGCATAGCAAATGGGAAAACATATTTTCATGCTTTATTGCTTTCCTTTTTTTTTTTTTTTTGCACAATTTGGTAAGAAATGAAATAACTATCAATGATGTTTATGGCTAACATCAATAGGATAAAGGTTTATTCAGATAAGTGGTCAGTTCAAACCATGACATTACTGTTCATGTTTATATTTGGAAGTCTGTGAATTGCTTACTACTTTATATTTGGAAACTTTCTGTTGAAACCATAAGAGATAGAAATTAGCTTTTATGAAAATGGAAACTGAGATTTTGGTTGAGGCATGAGTGGCAAGTCTGACAGTTGTTTGTATTTAATGACTTTGGAAAACACAAGGTTGAATTTTTTTTTTTTTAAATTATCCTGGACTGGATATTGCAGGAATAAAAGAAGACCACGGGACTCTTATCTCTAAACTGTGACTTCAGAGAGGCCAATAGGAAGCCTAAATAAATAGTTGGCCTCATAGTTTTGTAAGTGGTGGATTCCTGTCATCTATGTTGGTGATTTTGGTCAGATTCATATCTTGATCAAAGAACTTATACCACAGAATTCTTTCCTATAATTGATGTAAGTTGTTACTCTTGCATTTTTGCTGTGTGTATGTTGTGGAAACTCCTTTGACGGCACAGACTTTCTTTTGTAAGAGTGATATTATTTGCGTGTTCTTAAAACATAGCAAATCTTACAGTTTTGCCCTAATTATCAGAGGCAGCTGGTGTATAATTTCAGCACAGAAGAAAGATAATCTCTTGTACAGATTCACTTGCTAACTACTATGTATGTCTGATGTAGTAGTATTGTTGGAAAGTCAATCACAGTTCACAGAGATTGCTGTTTTCTGTTAGTGAAGAAATAGCTTGAAGAAACACTAGGACATCAAATGCGGTTTACTGTTGACTGTTTAAGATGGAGATAACGTAGAGGTGCAGTTCTTAAGCAAACCAGAGCTGTGAAATTCAAACAAAGACGACTGATGAAGTAGCTTTCACTATTGCCAGAGCACATGGGATTTTAAGGCAAATAAATTCTAGCTGAGAAGAGGAGGTTAGTCTAGTTATGGCCATAACTGCAGCTGAAAGCAAATGATCAGGTGTACTGACAGAGTCCAAAGCAGTTCAGCCCAATTGACGGACGATGAGATAGGCTGCTATGGCTTGAGTTACCTGGGGAATGTCAGGAACTTTCACCAATGGGGCTGTGCTTTTGTGAGAGCTACTGAAATGGCGTCCTTGTAGCTAAGTCAGCCTGCAGGGATCAGCTCTGCTTCCCTTCTGCTGCAGTGGAGAACATCTGATTCCTTTACTGAAAGAATGCAAGCTTTTGTGAATCATACAAGTGAAATATGAGAGGCAAGGTATGTCCCTAAATAGACACTAAAATTGTAAAGCTGACTAATGTATTTGCATGCTCATTTGCCATTAGATTTAATAGTAGGCAGGTGTCCAAATCCTCTGTGGCTTTGAATATCTCAGCATGAGCTCTTAAATGAGCCTGGAGACTGGAGGCTGTAGAATAGGAACCAGAGGTGTTGAAATGCTAATTGAGCTATGACTGACAGAAGTGTTGTGTGAATTAAAGGGGCAGAGTCAAGTGATCTTTCATCACTGTGAGGAAAGTTGGTTTCTTCAAGTGCTTACTTGGCAATGAGATGTCATTAAGGGAGATGAGTCAGATAAGCAAATGCATCTGGAAGACTGACAGAAACATGTAATAAGCAATCTTCCAGTCTTCACTGAGAACAAGCCAATCTGTGCATCTTTAAAACCCTTTTCAGGAAAAGAACATAGCTGGGGGAAATGGGGATTAAAAACCTTGAAATGAATAAGATGGTTCTCCTTTTAGATTGACTTGCATGGAAACTGAGGAAAGTATTTCTTACTATTTACTATTTTTTGGCTTCTAAAATGTGTTAAACTCCACCTATGATCCTGTACCTCTTGTGGAAAGAGATGAGTTTCTCGAGGAATGTTTCAGAAGACCTATGCAAGACCTTGAGTAAAGAGTGGACTAGAGATAGTTGGTAGGAAAAATTGTGCATAGGATTTTGAAATGAAACTTTGATTATCTGCATATGGCCTTTCTTCCCTTATAAAGACAGTCTCTATTCTTTGTATGAGACAAAGTGCGGAGAAGACAAACGCAAAGAAGGCTGGGATGCCTATGTCAATAATATGTTCTCATTTAAATATGCATATGTTTCTTGGTGGTGTTTGCTTGAAGTGCATTTTCCGACTTATTACACGAGAAGAAGATACTACCTTGACAGCTGAGATTAGAGAAGGGTTTCTAAGTTAGCAGTTTTCAGCATTATGCTCGAAGTGCACAATATAAAAAGTATATTTATTGCTCTTAGCACAAAAGGAGAATGAGAACTACAGAACCACTTAACTGAAGCTGGTTTTGAGAAGAGTGTTGCTTTTCAGCACACTGGAAAGCAGAATTCCTGAAAAAGGAAACTGAAAAACTGATGTATGAACCAAAGAGCTTAGTAGTAATACTGGTAATATGCATTCTTTGCTATGCAAAAATGAGAAACTGTGACATTTCATTAATGGCCTTTTAAAATTTCTGGATGGAAGTAGTACAAAGAAGTTCTAGTCATAGGTTTGAAGCTCCATTGTGCAAATACCTGCAATTAAATGGTAGTCTCCAAAATATCATCTAGATAGGACAAATTTACCTAAAACTATTTCAAGGGAATAGTGCAAGTGAACAGTGCTAATGGAGTTCTAGCTCTATGTTGTACTTGCAAATATGACTTTTTGCCCATGCAGATGGGTGGGATTGCTTATCTTGCACGTGCATTTTTGGTGGCCAGTTGAAAACTTGCCTCTTCTGCGCAGATTTTCATCTATCTTTGGTTTTACATGTGAAATATTTATTTTCAGAGCTGATTTTAGTGGGTAGAAGCACAGTGACAAACACAAGTAGGAATTTTGGCATGCCATATAATAGGTATGCATAGAAATTACTAAACACTTACGCAATCCTATCTTTTCATTAAGTTATTTGATCAAATTCTGTTTTACTGCAGAAGGAAGGTGAAACAATAGTATACAAACATGTTTACTGTGGTCAGTGCCTAAGAATTTGGGGGGCATCTTGAGAAACTTGTCAACTGCAAACCTTCCCTTATCTGATTTTTCACTTGAACTTAACGGGTGTTTGCTCAACACATCACGTGGGTTTCACTGACCTTGGCAATTCTGCAGGCGAAGAATGATGAACTGTTCTCAAGTAATAATCCAATGCAGCTGGTAGAAGTTTGAGATATTTTAAGAGCAAGCAGTTACTTTTTTTTCTGTGTGTTTGGTAGAACTGCTGCTTGAAAAATCTTATTCTCCTTCACAGTTGTAGTTTCATCCAACTTTTTTTCGTTATTTATAGATGTTGATAAAGTACAGGAATTAAAAAATGAATGTCTCATGTCTGGATTCTGTTAAGGTTAATAGCACTTGTCCTTTTCTGCAACAGATTGGTTCTGTAGGACCTGAGAAAATGATTAATGATCAGCCATAGTGTGCGCTGGTTCCATATCCTCAGGACTGAAATGTTAGTTTTGTGCATAGTTTTCCTTGTACTTTGGTGTTTGGTCATTATGATTTTACTGCTTTCTTCAGAATAACTCGGCCTGTTTTTGAGGTGTCTGCCTGCTCTATAGGTTGCTTGGACAGTTTGAACAAGTAGCCCTTTTAGTGTTCTGCAGTAGAATTATGTTACTTCTCTTTGCTGCGGGCTACCAAAGTGTATGCATATTGTGATTTTGTGAATGTCTGTGGAAGGAAGGACGGGGCTTTCTCCTGCATGAGATGTGTTGCTGATGACTGTGTACTTCCGAAACTGGAAGACTTCAGTTGCTGCAAAGTATTAATGTTTGAGGAATGCATGGTGAGTGTGTGAACTAGGATACACCAACCTGTATAGAACATTACATGATGTCTATGACATCAAACACAATAAGGCCTTTTGGAGTCCTCAGTTACTGAAATACTCTGACAGAATTTCATACTCATGGCACAGAATTAAACTGCTCACTAAAGCATGTTGAGTGTTTTGGTTTGTGTTTTTTTTTTTTTTTTTTTTTAAGTGGCCATGCTTCTCGTAAGACTTAGGATTTCTTAGCTTTATTTCAGTTTGTTGCAATCAGCTGAAATGCTCTAGTTGACTATCTGACTTCTTTTGTTGTCTAGCTTTCTGCAAGGTCAGCAATGATACCTTGAGAACTTCTGTTCTTATTAACAGGTACCCTCAAGTGTGTGTTTTTTTTTTTTAAGTAAGGGCTCTTCCTAGATTTCTTTCTAAAACATCTTCCTTAGGATAGGATGTCTGATTAATTGTCTTTTAGTGCAAAGATTGTTTAAGTAAGATGTGAGTACCCTTCTTGCTTGTTTCTTTTTATTCACGTTTAAGCATAGCTCTCGAGTCGTTAGACAACAGTTTGCTAACCCAAAGCAAAAACCCAATTTCTTGTTTGCTGGGTTTTTTTTTTTTTTTTTAATAATAGCGTTACCCATTCAAGACTCTTTAATTATAGGAGGTTTTTACAAGAGTCTGAAGGGAAAAGCTTTCTCTGAAAATTAGCAACTTGAAAGGAACAGGGTTTTTGCTGAGGATACTGCCTTTCTGTTTATGCTCTTAGCATGATTTCCATGGTGTCTGGGAACTTCCACAAAACTTATAAGACAAAATAATTTAACAGTCGCATGGAGAGAAAATTGTATGAAAGCTCCATGTCTTGCTTGTAAACCTCTCGTCCAGATGGGTGGGCAGCTATCTACCTCTACTTTTTATAGGTAATTTATACCTTCTTGTGAGACTTTTGTTTTGCTCCTGTACAGCGCCTTCTATCTATGTTGAAATCTTCTATTTGAACAGGCCTTAGGATGATTAGTGCCATTGGAAGATATGCAGAAAAAAGTTAGAAAAGTTAAGAAAAGTTCTGTTGTCATATGCTTCATATGTTTTTTGCTATATCATATATTTGTTAATGCAGATATAAACTTGTGTTTATATCTGAGTAGATACTTTTTGCTGTATTAAACATGTAGGAATTTATTCACGCAGTCACGGTCTATTCTCTAAAAGGCTGTCAAACTTGAGAATTTCTAGTAATGAAGTGGCTTTTACCAACCCAGTTCTTCCTTGAGCCATCTTGAAATTGATAATATGGAATATAACGGACCTTAGGCCTCCTGCTCCTAAATTTGTTTGGCAGCAGCTGGAGGAAATTCGTGACTATGATGCAATCTCTGAATTAACAGTGCAGGGATAAAAGTGAGGCAGGCTTTGCATCTTTGTATGTTCAGAGATATGCCTGCAGGACCAGACCGTTTAAAGTGTCCATTTGGAATAAATGGAAATGGGAGCAGGTACAAAGATCATACATGTAAAGCACATACAGTGTGCACTAGCAAAGCATTGTGCAGACCCTTTGGCACCTGAAAAGTATGAGGTAAGAATAGTCTGGTTCTTCCTGCATTAGGGGGCCGAATGTGGAAAGTACACCATTGTAGTGGATACCGTTGCATTCCCAGAGGGTTCAGCTGCACAGATAGTTTTGCAGTTTAAGGAGAATGGGAATGTCCTGTGGAGGTATGGAAAAGTTCTTCAAGGCATGCAAATGGAACTAAATAGCTGTTAAGTACTGCATGTAGTCTTGTGGTATTGACCGGAGACTTTTATTTGGCTTTGTTTACCATTCAGTTTTCTACTACTTGCTGATTTTTTTTTTCTACTTTCTAAATTTCGGAGTAGAAAATGGACTCCATTAAAAGAGTATGGCAAGAATTTCCAAATGCTCTAGTCAAAAATTCCCCTTAATATTAACAAAATAACAGATGAAATTAAAAAATGATCTCAATGTGATTATTTGAGTAAAACAGTTCATCATTTATGTATCATGTAACCTCTTTGGATTTCTTTTTAGATGAGGAGGCAAGAAGCCTTCAGTTTGAAGACGAATCTTGGAATTTTAATCGTGGGCATAATTCGCATTTTCTTTTGGTGGTGCTTGGCTGAGCTGATGATTCACCTCATGTACATCCATGCTATCTACAGTAGTTCTCCACCTTTGGAAGCTGTGTCATACTGGGCTTTAGGTTAGTGTGAAATACTGAACAAGTTCTCCTTCCCCCACAACCTCCAGAAACCCCCAGTCTATTTTTCTTTTATGTCCATCTGTTAGTACTTATTAATTGTATGATTGTATGTTATGACCATTCGATGTCAAAAACATGATTGAGACTATTAAGAGTACATGTAGGTCCTTTAGGAAGCTTACAGTTAACCTTATTGAACTGCTTGCAAAATTCAAAAATATTCTATATTCTGTATCCTGTTGTGCCCCCCCCCCACCCCCTCACCCCCATCTGAAAGGTGAGGGTGTTTCTAGTCCTTATATTTTTCTCTACCATAGAGCTGGTCATTTAAAACAAGAAAGAGTTTGTTTAGCCTATGGATGGAGGTAGGGAAATGTTAAGATTGAAAACATTTCTCATGCTTTATTGATCTCTTCTGTGTTTGGTGTTTTTAATTCTTTCCTCCAGCTCTTACTCAGTTCTTATCCATGGTGAAACTTAAAATGGCAATACTCACTAAAAGAGCAAAGGGAAGGGAGTGTGTGTGCAAGTGAGGTGACCCAAAAGTACTAATCTGTGCCTCTCTTTCTGTTTTCCCCTGCTCCTTCCCACCTTCCCCCACATTTGGTTAAAATTCTTTACTGTCGGTAAAAAATGAATGAGCACTCATGAATATAACATCAAATGGTAAGAGCTGTGCATACCGGTATGTTGATAGATGTAGGATAACCTGTAAGCCACTTGCAGACGTGGTTGGTATGACTTTTCCATTGTCCTGCTACATGTATCTCTGGGTTAGGGGGAAGGAAGCAGAGGAGCCCCCACCCTTTAAATTGGATTCTGAAAAAGACTTGATGAATTACTGATTTGAAGTAGATGCCTCTTATTATATCAGCAAGTAACAGGAATCAATACACATGCTGATAGGCCCAGTACAGGGTTTATTAAAGGTCACGTATGTATGATAGGGAGTGTATGTGTTGAAAGAGGACATATTGAGTTCTGGCCAGTAGAGGGCAATACTATACATAGAAAAAGACAGAGAGCTAGTTTGCTGAAAAGAGCAAACCTAGTGGTTTACCTCCATGGTTCACTCTCCTCATCCACAGTCAGTCGGTGTTTTGAAAGTTGGTTCTGACTTTGCATTTGCAAATGACAAGACAGAAATGTTAGAGTTACCTAAAGTAGCATTAGTGAGTGCATCTTTTTCTTCATCACATGTATACAGGTTAAAAGGAAAAAGTTTTCTGAAAGTGAAAAGCAACAAAACTTTCGCCAAATGGGAAATATGTTCATGCATTATACAGAAGGTATGACGAGCACTGGTCCATTGTGTTGCGAGACTGCCTTTTTTCCTAAAGGAGCTTACTCAGTGTCTCTTTGTGTGGAATTGTTCATGCTACGTGGTGGTGCAAAATAATAAGGCCAGGCCAGAGAAAAGGTACATAGTAGAATATTTAGAATCTTAGTTTAGATTCTAAATAGTTTAGATTGGAAGAGACTTACAGAGATCATGTAGTCCGATGCCCTGCTCTGGTCTAGGTACATCAGGTTGCTCAAGGAAGGCCTTGTCCAGTAGACTCTTGAACACTGCCATGGATGGAGACTCCACAACCTCTCTGAGCACTTGTTCCAGTATTTTATCAGCCTCAAGGTAAAAACAAAAACCCGAAACCAAAACAAAGTCCTACTATCTATATGAAACGTCCTATTTCCCAACCTATATTCATTGCCTCTTTTCTTATTGCTGTGCACATCCACAGGCTCCATCTTCTCTGTATCCTCTACTCAGATAGTCGTAGACAGCAGTCAAGTTTCCCTGAACCTTCTCTTCTGAAGCTGAACAAACCCATTTCTCTCAGCTTCTCTTCACGTGTTGTGTGCTCCACCCCTATCATCTTGGTGATTCTCCCCTGGACTTGTTTCAGGATGTCAATGTCTTTTTCGTAATGAGGAGCCCAAAGCTGGACACAGTATTCCAGACGCAGTCTCACAAATGCAAAGCAGAACAGAAAGATCACTTCTTTGGACCTGCTGGCTCCACTCTTACTGATACAGTCCAGGATGCGGTTGTCCTTTTTTGCTGCAAAGATGTGCTGCTAACTCATGTTCAACTTGTCCAGTAACACCCTCTAAACCCTTTTCTGCAGAGCTGCTTCATGAGCAGTCAGCCCCCAGCCTGTACTGTTGATGGGATTATTCCATTCAGATGCAACACTTTGCATTGGCTTTTGTTGATTCTTTCACCTGTTTGTCCATCTAGTCAAGGTCTCTCTGAACAGGAGCCTAGCCCTTCAGTGTATGGATTGTTCCCTGCAATTATATGATGTCATCTGCAAACTTGCTGAGGGTGCACTCTGTTCCATCATCCAGGTTGTTAATGAAGACATTAAACAATATTGGTCTCAGCAGTAATCCCTGAGGGACTGCACTAGTTAGTGGCTGTCAGCTAGGCTTTGTGCAGCTGATCCAGTCCTAGCCAAATTTCTTTCCACACTATCATCCAATTATACAGCCCATATCTCATGAATTTGGTTATGAGAGACTATCAGAGAATGTGTAGAATGTTCTGTGTATGTATACAACATATAGACAACAAACGTATGCAATACCCGTTGTCCTTCCTGAGTCCAAAGTGCCAGTCTCTTCATATAGAGAGCAGTGAGTTGTTCAGGCATCGTTTGCCCTCGGTTAAACCCATTTTGCTCTTCCCAATCTCATTCTGGTCCTTAATGCATTTAGAAGTGGCTTTTAGGAGAATTTGCTCCATAATGTTCTTAGGGACTGAAGGGAGGCTGACCCTCCTTATTTATGGTGAAGACTTTCTCTTGGATAAACAACAATGATGCCACACAAACTTTTTGTTTAGAGATGTTACTGTACTATAGATGGAAGAGCTGCTCTAATTGTAATCTCCATGAAGTCTCTTTAATTATGTTACTTGTAATTTATATGTGCAACTGTCAATTTTCAAGGTCATTAATTGGATGATAATAGCGTTGGGAATTGTAAGTAGAAGGCTAAAGACAGCGTACATGTGTTTTGTATAAAGGTAGAACTTCCAATTCCCTTCCCTCCCACCCACCCCTGTTTTCCTGGATTACTCCTCTCCCTACATTGCCTGTTTTGTTCATATCAGCCACTAGATTGTATTTCTGAGCAGAAAAGCAGCTTGCTTTGCCACCTTGTGGATCAGTGCGCTACAGAAGTACATCATCATCAGCCTTCTCTAAGATGGAGCAAATTGCATCCACTGTGCATCAGTTCTGTAATGAGCAGGAAAGCAAGTGTCTTGTTGCACTGAGGTTCCTGGATTTTAGGGATTTAAATGAAAAGTGATTGGAGCCCTGGCTGGAGGCTACTCTGAAGGACAGCAGCTTTTTAAAATTATTCTTCATACTATTATCATTAGTAGTATTACTATTTAGAAGAGCTTCTCTACTAAAAGAGAAAACAGACATTCATTATTTAGGTTCTTCAGCCAGACAATGCAAAATCTATTGTTGTTGAATAATTCATTTTTTTCCTTTTTGAATATTTATTTTTAGATGAGTGTGTATTATTGATAGAGCTGACCTGAGGTTGCATTCATCTCTTTTTCGTTGACTAAAAAACAATAGAAAACCATTACAAATCTGTTTTCACAGGATATTCTCTCCCCTGCTTGATAATACAAGCCCCACGTGGAAATATATATCAGAATTTCCTATGCTGTATATTCCTTCTCGCGTTTAAATTTTGTTTCCTTTAGCACTCTCTGCATACTGCTTTACACTTACGTGTTTATATCACAGAAAGGTTGGGTTGTGTTGGTCATAGCACAGGAAGAATGCAGTTCTCAAGTGGGAGTGCTTTGTGAGAGGGCGTGCTGGCAATGGTACTCTCTTTGATACCAGAAGGGTTAGAGCTCAGCTGCCTTTGATTATCTTCATTGCAGCAGAGTAACAGGGAGAGAGCGGTGTCAGAGAGAGCAAAACCTATGCTGTTGTTTTTGATGTACCCTTTTAGATTGACTGCTCGTGTCCAGAGCGACTAAGATGTTTTCAGCTGAGTAACTGCAACTCTACACAGTCTGCTGGAGAACAGATGCAGTGCGTATTAACAAGAAAGCTGCATCTACTGGTCTGAAGAAAGCACAGTTTCATAATGACCACAGCCATGTTTGGTAGCAAGATGAATGTCCAAGTAGAAATGTCACAACCTCCTGAATAGAGGAGGAGGTGAGAGCTAGCTTTGGTCAGAGGTGTTTTTGGACATCCACATGTCAACTTCTGAGGGTAACTTTAGGTATAAATGACCTCAGGTCATCCTCCCATACCTTCTATCCCTGAAGAGACTTTATTCTTTTCCTTTTTGGGCAGTGGAAATCTTATTCTGTGTCTAGATGTTGGGGAGGCTATACCCCCTTGGTAGTGTGAGACAGAGATTATATAATCAGTTCAAAGTCTTTCACCTGTTTCTTCACTATCACTTGTACTGGCCAGTGTAGCCTTTCAATATGATGGGTTTCAAAGGTTCTGTAATCTTACAGCAGAAAATGCTATAATAGTCTCTTCTCTCCAAGAATCCCCAAGATATAATGAACACCCAAAAGCACAGTAGCAAGTATTGCTCATAGACTGGTCCTCGCCACTCTCCTCTGAATTGCTTGTTCCTCAGAATTTCTCATCCTGCCCCTTCTCTGTTCAAGGCAGACCTCGGCTTCACGTTCTTCTCAGTAGTGCAAATATTTGCACCCATCAATAGTAAACTGTTGGTATATTGAACAGTATCAGGGCACTTGTGCACAGTTGTATTTATTCTATTCTGAGCATCAAGCACAGCGTTTACCGCAATTCCATTTTTTTGTGTCAATGCTGCTCTTCTCATTCTTACAGCTTTGGGCATATTGTCTTAAAGGATGGGATACTTTTAGAATTAATAACATAGCAGGAAGACTTGTATTTCATGACAAAGAAAATGATAATTTATTCTTCTCAATTTTAAAAATTATTTGAACTTAGTTTTTGTATTTTACATTG